ACACACACACACACACACACACACACACACACACACACACACACACATTAGATAAATAAATATTTAGCAATCACACTTTTGGCATTTATTCAAATGAGTTAAAGGCACGTGTCTACATAGAAACCTGTACTCAAACACACAGATGTTCATTTTTATTCTTAATTGCTCAAACTAAGAAGTAACAAAACTTCTTAGTAACTCACTCCATCAGTGAGTGGATGGCTGAACCCCGAACCTACAGGTGATAGGATATATTCTGTGACAGGGAGAGGGAGAGAATAAGAGAGAGGGTGAAGGAGAGGGTGAGGGAGAGGGAGAGAGTAAGGGAGATGGAGAGGGCGAGGGAAAGGGGCAGGGAGAGGGAGAGAGTCCAAACCACAGAAGGACATGAGGAACTTTAAGAGCATATTGCTAAATGAGCAAGCCATTATGAAAAGGCTATGTGATCTGAACCCAATGACATGATGTCCTGGAAAGGGAAAAATTATGGAGACAGTGGTGGCTAGGGACTAGGAGATCAAAGTTCACAGTGAGCTCACCTCACACAGGGCCTCCAGCACATGAGCTTAAGTAAGCTTCCTTTCATGCCCCCTCCTCACCTCTCCCATCCCCCACCATTCAGGTGTGGTATCACGGCCACAGCCATTGCTTAAATATAGCATTTACATTTTGTTAATTGAAAAGATGATGTCATATGAAGGCCAAAGGCATTCTTCAAAAGCAGGTAGCGCAGGGTGGCGACGCAGGCAAAAATATGCTGTGTCATCCCACCGTAACACAATTAGCAGTTTTAGCCTGCCTGCCAGCCTCATCCTCCCTACATAGCCATTCTGGGTCATTTTAAACTAATGGACAAGGATTTTAAATCCTGCCTTTTCCCTTGTTATGGCATCCCAAATACTCGCACAGGATGAGCTCTGGAATTGTACAGGAGAATATATTTAACCCTGCTCATTGGCACCCTTACAGATGCTGCTATTGGGATGAATGGATCAGCAGATACTTAATGCTATTTAACGGTACCTTTTAAAGATGGTAAAGTTGGTGAGCAAAATTCTTATAGATCTTTTTTTTTTTTTTCAAGCAGAGTCTTACTATGTAGCCTTGACTGGTCTGAAACACACTATGTAGAGCAGACTGTGCTCAGACTCACAGAAGTCTACCTGCCTTCACCTCCCAAGCGCTGGAATTAAAGGCATGTGTCACCATGCCTGGCCCAATTCTGATATTTTAAATAGGTACATATAGAGGTGCGTAACACTGCTAAAGTATGCACTTAAACATAGTTAAGATGATAATTTCTGGTGTGATATTTTTAGATAGACAAAATAGATGATAGATAGGAATATATTTAACACTACTGATTATGCTCCTAAATATGGCTAAGGTGGGTATAGAAATGATAAATTGATAAACAGATAATAGATTGATAGGCAGGCAGACAGACAGACAGACAGGTAGGTAGGGAGGTAAGTAATTTCCCTGTTTTCATCCATGGGTCTAGGTTCGTATAACTCCCTCTCCAAGGCAGACCATAGAAACTAGAATTTCTCTTCCTCCGAGTGAGAATCTGCTCCCAGTTTTATCCAGCCACAAAGAAACTCTCCAACCTACCCTTGTCTGATAGGCCATAAGACCATCCCAGGCCAGAGAGGCTCCCCGCCCAGGAAGAAGGACATTGCACAGAGGTCGGGAAGAGCCCAAGAAAGCAGACCCTGCTGGGCTCCCTCCCTGTCTGTCACCATGGATCTCCACCAAAGCCCTGAAGAGTTCAGAGAGCGCCCAGGTAGCCAGCCACAGTGAACGCCAGGCCCCTTCCTGCGTGCCTCGCCCACATAGCCCTTCATCTGGATCTTTCCTGACACCCTCTGTAACAAAGCAGTGTGCTCTCCCTTGTGTCTGGTGAAGCAAATTAATTAAATCCAGCAAGAGCTTTCAGGAGCTCTCATATACAGCCAGCCAGCCAGAGACTGAGGTGAGCAACCTGGGGCTAGCCACCGGCATCAAAAGGGGAAGAGGCAATCCTGGAGACTGAGACCTTCATCCAGGCTGGCGAGGTCCACAGCTCCGGAACTGACTTGGACTGGAGCGCACACACTAGGGTTAGGAATCCGCTGCTACGAAACCGTTAGATACCTGGCAGAGACACCCATACCGTCGGTGGTCACGATGCCCTCTCCACGATGTGAGAACAGAGGAAGAACCATTCATTTTTCCTACATTCGTGCCATGTAGGTTCTTAACACAATTAAAAACTTTAAAAAAAATATTTTTTTAAAAGAAAAGGAATGTGGGCTCTGAAGGGGATAACTTGAGTTACATCATATGTCTACAACTTGGTTGCTGTGTGACCTTTGCCCCTGTGTGTCTGTTTCTGAGTTGCTCACATGGGGATAATGATACCATGCCTCATGGGTTTGTTTTAAGGACTTCGGGAGCTAAATCACACAAGACATTTACTGCAGGACGGCAGACTGATGTATTCAACCAAAGCAAGATATTCTTTTCCCTCGAGTGTACTGTTGATGACTCAGTCACCACTATTTTGTATAGCACTAATAAACCAGCCAGTCACAACTGTAAGATGTAACCAGAGACACCTGCCAATTTCAGATATGTGGATATAACAAAAAGATACTTGGAATCATTGAAATACGATCTGATAGCTACTGTGTGTGTGTGTAGTCTTCCTTGGCCATGTTTGGCTGTATCCCTTTCTACTTACTGGGAGATGTGTTTGTATGGACATTTTCCTGGCTCCTCCCACCCCACAGCTCCATTCTTTTCCAGCTGAATTCTACTCAGACCATAATATCTATATTAAATGACGCTTTTCTGTGAACCTTTTCTGAATCAAACAGAATTACTGCTCTCTCTTCAGTACTCCATAATCCTTTGCAAGCATCTCACTGATGATTGGCAGCCTGTGTGCACACCTCTCCAACTTGATGATCCTCTTCCTTTACAGGAAATATTTATTTATTTAGTGGTGTGTGTGTGTGTGTGTGTGTGTGTGTGTGTGTGTCTAAGTCAGAGGACAAGGTGTGAAAGTCAGTTCTCTCCTTCCACTGTATAAGTAGACCCCGGGGCCTGAACTCGGGTGGTCAAGATTGGCAGTGAGAGGTTTTACCCACTGAGCTGTCTTATCACCCCTCTTCCTTAATGATGACACCTAGAGCTTAGTCAGTCTTTGGCAGGATGGAGAACTCAAGCAGGTGTCAGAGAAGAAGAGATGGAGCAGTCTCTAACCCAGGGAATGAGCCTGGAGCCTGGCTCACAGAATAGGAAAGGAGGCCTGAGGGTGACTTAGCAATCGTCTTCTAGACGTAAAAGAGTGACGGCTCTGTGCCACAGGGGACAGGCTTCTGTGTAGCCTGAGGAACTGAGATCAGCCCTCGGGCTGTTCTTTAATGTGGAGGATTCTGGAATGGCTTTCTAGGTTCGGTGGCTACATCTTTTCTTCTAAGTCACTAACTCTGCAGTCTGAATAACTTCAAGCAATAACCTTCAGACCTTAGCTTGAATCAAGCTTACCTATGGGGCTCATTAGAACTCACCTCCTCCCCAACAGTCTCGTAGAAATTCTGGTTCAGGTCTGGGCTGGGGTCCAAGAATGTGCGACAAGTCCCCAGGCGATGCTGGTGCCTGCTGTTGGTGCCAGTGCTCTGAGATGGGCTTCTGCTGCTTGGAGGCAGCCCCGTGAACCACAGGATCTCTGCAGTTTTATGATGGATTTTTTTTTTTTTTTTTACCCTTTTGCATTGTAGGTGTTTCTAACTGGGGAGGCTATGCCCTGGCCTGCGCACTGTACATTCTGAACTCATGTCAAGTCCATGAGCGCTACCTGAGGAAAGCAACTGGATCTTCCACAGTGACTGGGGAGCAGAGCTGGATTCAGGCCCTGCCATCTGTCACTAAGGTAATACACGGCAGCAAGCCACCGGCACAGAGGCGGCTTTCTTGTTGCATGAGAACCAAGAAGGCCTGAGTGTTCCAAGCCATATGACCCCATCAACCACCATGGTGCCCATCAAGCCAAAGGCAAAGCTAGCCTTGAGGGAATGCCTCCTGGCTGGGTCAGGCTGGGAGACAAAAGCAGATCCTTTGATCTACTTCTGGTCCAGGGTCTTATGTTTGGAGACCTGTTTGGAGAGATCCTTTCCTTTCTAATTTGACTTTCGGCAAATTGCTCTTCCCTCTCAGAGATGGAGTGTTAGTCTGTGAACTGGGTACAGTCAGCACTGTTGGAAGGAGGAAACACCTGAGCTGTGGAGGCGTCATGGGGTTGTGGTCAGGAGATGGGGTGGGAGTCCCTACTGTTCTCTTTGCAGAAGTGACAGCTCGGTGAGGGTCCTGAAGCATCTCGGGTAGCACACGTGCTAAAGTGGAGGGGCAGATCAGGTAGGAAAAGAGTCCCGTGGGTTTAGACTAGAAAGAATCTACTAGAATGGGGGGAAGGGGGCAGCTTCTCGCTGGCTAGCCCCATGGGGAATGTAAAGCCTGGTTTGGACCAGAGCCCTGGTTAGTGTATTAGTTACCTTTCGGTTGCTGTGCAAAAACACCACGACCATGGCAACTTGCAGAGGAAGGCATTTGCTTTGGCTTACAGTTCCAGAGGGTAAGAGTTCGTCGAGGCAGGGGAGCATGGCAACAAGCTACAGGCATGGCAGCTGGAGCAGGAGGCCGAGAGCGCCCATCCTCTGCCACAGCACGAAGCAGAGAGCAAACCGGAAGTTGCCTGTTAGACTCACAGTGCTAAGCCTGTCTTCCTGGCCCCTGACTCGGGAGGTCTGAAGCAGGACCCATGAGTAGAATTCCAGTGCAGTTCTCTGAGGGTGTGTACACCTGCTGGTTACTGACTATGTCGGTTTCTAAGTTGTGTGTTGGTTTAAGGAGGGGCGGGCAATTGCGATGTCTCCCAGCCAGCCAAAGGCTGGCGCCCCTGACCTGCCCCCCATTCCTGACAAGCCCCCATGGCTAGAGGCACTTGTAGGCACTCTTCGTTTTCTTCATGTTGTTTTGTGCAGTCGCTCTGGCCTCCCTACCTCCTGGGTTGCCATTTTCCCTGCCATAGAGGAACGAGCTGGTGGGCTCTGGGTGGTGGGTGTCTTGCCAAGGCCACCCAATAAGAGGCAGAGTTAAAACAGGAGTTGAAGTCTCTCTGATCCAGGCTCTGGGCTTGCCTCAAGTGGTCAGGAAGTTTCTCAGCCCCTGAGAATGCCAGGGAATAGGGGAGAGGAAGGTGTGAGGCCCAGGTGACATTTCCATGGGGGAAATGGTCTTGTCTTCCCTGGGGGGCCCAGGGAGCTTTCTGTTCTTTCTGTATGCTTCCTGTATTTTGAACTGGAAAACATGGAGTTGGGGGTGGCTGCCTCCTGCAAGACTCTTGATTCACACAAACACAAAGTGTGAACCCCGCCCAGCCAACCGGCCACAGCCCCACACTCATCCTCCAGGGATGGAAAATTCTCCTCTTGGCATGGGCACCCAGCCTTTCAGAAGTGAATTAACAATGCCCCGTTCTCAAGGAGGAAATGGAATGGCATGGTTTTAAAGCAGAACCACATTTGCTGAGCCCCTCCTGGGGGCCAGGCCCAGGCGAGTTCTGGGAAACAATGAGGAGTCAGACACAGCCCCTGGGGAAGGAGCTTAGGGAACACAGCAGAGTGACATGGGAGCCTAGATGGAAGTGTTCTCTCTCTCTCTCTCTCTGTTTGGCCTGAAATCCTCGCCAGAACAACCCTTGCCTCAACCTAGAACTAGTGCCTTGGACTATAGGTATGCCCAGCTTTCCAACTTACTTTTATTTTAAAAACAAACAAACATCATTTTCCATAAACATCAGCCCACCATGTTCCAGAGTGAATTAGCGATCACCACGTAGCCTCCCTCTAAGCCCAGAAGTCACCTTGGGCCCTCCTTCCCCATCCACCTTGACTCCGTCTGTGAGGCCTGCCCACCCTGCCTCACCTTCGTCCTCCCTCCCCATTCCTGCTTCGATGTCTGCCTCAGCCTGGGCAGGACTGCTGCCTCCAGCTCTGTTCCAGCGGGGGAGGAATTGCCCCCTCCACTTGGTCCTTTAGAAGATCGTGTGGTATTGCCTGGAAATGTGCTGGCTGTGGCGATCGGCCCAGCCGGTCCCTCTGGGTCTGACAGGCTGAATGCCAGCCAGTTCCTAACCTGTTGGCTGTCCACCCTGAGGACGCCAGGGCCCCTTCCGTGTCCCAGAAGGATGGGTACAGGGAGGGCAGGCAGTGTGCCTGGAGGAGATGGTCCTACAGTACCACGTGCACTGCCCCCATAAAGAGAGGATATGAGTAATGAGGAGGACAAGTGGGCGAATCAAGCCCAAACAAAGGGTGGCAGTGCCTGTCTGGGCTGAGGAGCCCCTGGCCAGGGCTCTTGTGAAAGACTTGCGTAGAAATGGACTTGTACCTTCCTTTCACAGGTGGAAGTCTGCCTCCACACAGGGACAGAATGGAAAAGCCACTCCAGGGTCAAAGAAAGAGTTTCCAGGCAACATTTTCCAACACTCCCCACCCCGTGTGTGCGTGTGTGTGTGTGTGTGTGTGTGTGTGTGTGTGCCTGCGTGTGCACGAGTACATACATATTCATGTCTGTGGTACTCACATATATGTAGAGACAAGAGGCTGACATCAAATGCCTTCCTCAGGCACTCTCCTTATTTTCTGAGACAGGGTTTCATACTAAATCTGGAGCTCACCAGTTAGACTAGAGTGGCCAGCCAGCAAGTCCCAAGGATGCTCCTTCCCTGCCGTTCCAGCCTTTTTGTGGGTGCTGAGGATTGGGGTGCCCTATTTATTGGGGTGTCCTAAAGGCAAGCACTTTACTACCTGAGGCATCTCCCCAGCTCCACCGTCACATTTATTGGAAGTTTTGGATGAGTGTTCACAAGGCCCTTGACTCTAATTTCCTCTGATTCTCACTGTGTCCTCATGTAGTAGAGTCAGAAAGCATGTGGAGCGGGGCGTGTTGGCACTCACCTTTAATCCCAGCATTCAGGGAGGCAGAGGCAGGAGGATTGCTGTGAGTTTGAGGCCATCCTGGTATACAGAGTGAGTTCCAGGACAGGCTGCACAGAGAAACCCTGTCTCAGGGGAAAAAAAAAAAAAAAAAAGACAGGGTCAGAAAAGCCAGGCGTCAGATCTGTCAAATCCCAATGCACATCTGCCTGCTGGGGCCCATGGCTCTGCTCCAGGTTTGGAAAATCGAGGCGGCAGCAGCAGAACTTAGTTGTGTGCTTGCTGGATTTTTCCCCCCTGAAGGTGGTCAACATGAGACAAGCTAAAGTCATCTGGGAAGAGGGAATCTCAACTGAGGAAATACTTCCATAAGATAAGCTTGTAGGAAAGCCTGAGGGAATGTCTTTATTACTGATTAATGTGGGAGGGCCTGGCCAGTGGGGTAGTACCATCTCTGAGAAGGTGGCCCTGAGCTGTATAAGAGAGCAGGCTGAGCCCGTTATAGAGAGCAAGCCAGTAAGCAGCACCCCTCCATGCCCTCTGCTTCAGTTCCTGCCTTCAGGTTCCTGCCTTGAGTTCCTGTCCTGACACTTCCTTTGGTGATGGAGTGTGAACCAAGAGCTGTAAACTGAAATAAACCATTTCCTCCATCACGTTGCTTTTAGTCATGCTGTTTATCACAGCGATAGAAAGCAAATAAGGACAAGCACCACCCCTCAGGAGGCTAAAAGCGGGGTTTCAGGGAAGCCTTCTGCCACTACCAGACTCACAGGAACTAATCCATGGCATGGCTGGGGGCTGGGTTGGTGGAAGGATTGCATCTCTGGCATGTGTTAGGACTGTGCAGGTCTCCCCAGGGGCATGGACTATGGTCACAGGAAGGTAAGTGCCCGAAGAAACAGCTGATCTGTTTAAATGCTGTGCTTTTGTTTGAGATAGGGTCTCACTCCATAGAGTGAGCTGTCCTGGAGCTCATGATATAATCCAGGCTGGCCTTAAACTGACTGTAATCCTCCTGCCTCAGCCCTCAAGTAGTGGGATGGCAGGTGTGAGCCACCACATCCAGCTCTTGATTCTGAGTTTCCTAAGGAGCTTTCCAATGAGTTAATATTTTTATCTCAAATTTTACTGGTTAAAAAGAGGTGCATTCCTGGGTGTGGTACCACATGGCTTTAGGTCTAGCACTTGGAAGTCAAAGGTAGGTGGATATCTAAGAGTTTGAGGCCAGCCTGGTCTATGTAGTGAGTTCCAGGCTAGCCAGGGTTACAGAGACCCTGTTTTAAAAAGGAGGAGGAGGAGGAGGAGGAGGAGG